CAAGCCAGAGCCACAGTGAGGGGCCGCCTGACACCTGTCAGCAGACACCAAAAGGCCAAGCGATAGCAAATGCTGTCAGGAGTGTGCAGACTGCCCACTGCTGCAAACATCCATGGCGCGACCATGTTGTCTGGTCTGCAGGTTTCCCAAGAAGCAAACAGCAGCAGAGCAACGAGTGACACGCAGTTCCGTTCATGGTTATTATATGCACAGGAAGTGGGGTGGGCGTGTCAGGGACCTCTGCATGCTCACGGTCACTGCGAATTATTCACAATAGCTACGATTCAGGAGCAACCCGAGTGTCCGCCAGTTTGGATCACAAGTCATCTGGCAGGAAACGACCTGCTTCCTGGCAAAGAAACTCCCACAACCACCTCCCGGCAGGGAGAGAGGGCGCACATGGGCAGCCATGGTTTCCTCTTTTCCTCTGACCCTGCACGGCTCACTGAGAGGCTTTTGCCAGGACCTGGGCAGTCTCAGGGCCCTGGTGTGGTAGCAGGAACACAGTCAGCTTCGATTTTGAGTGGAATTTCCTGGGGCTGGAACCCTGTTTCCTATTTACTCTCTGTCCCTGGGAAACCTTCCGCGGGGCACTGGCGAAGCCAGGCTAATGAGTGAATGCCTTTTTTGCTTTTCTTTGCTCCTCTGAGGATTGGGGCAGGATGCAACATCAAGCCAGTCATGCCTCAGAGATGGAGAGGGGGGGGGATTCGAACATTCTTCTTCTAAGAATCTAAGAAGAAAGAACTATGTAACACAGAGCCAGCATTAGCCAGGTGGTCGCCTTTAATCCCAGCACTCTGGAGGGAGAGGCAGTCAGATCTCTGTGAGTTCGAGGCCAGCCTGGTCTACAAAGCTACACAGGGAAGCCTTTATCGAGGCTATAAAGGGAAAACAATATATTTATTTACCAGAAAGAGAGAGAGTCGCACTGACCAGGAGTTAGAAGCGTGGCTGGCTTCCAGGAGAAAAAAAGGGAGGTTCCTTCTTCTTTCACTTCCTTTTATATCTACCTGTGTCAGTTTACATGTCTCCGCCCTCATGGGTGGATAGCTTTCTGGGGTACACTCCTACAAACCTTGACTCAAAAACAAAAACAAGAACAAAAGCGGTGGCGCATGCCTTTAATCCCAGCACTCGGGAGGCAGAGGCAGGCGGATCTCTGTGAGTTCGAGGGCAGGCTGGACTGACAGCCTCCAAAACAATACAGAGAAACCCTGTCTCGTAAATACCAAAAAACAAACAAACAAACAAAAAACCCACAGAACCAGCATGGCCCAACCCCAGCAAACAAAGCTTGCGGTTCTGAGTGGATCTCTCAAGACCCATGTCTCGGAGCATGGAAGAGATGGCTCCGAGGTCACAGAGGCTCTCTCCCGGCTGTGGTGTACAAGGGTGTGCAGTGTTCCTTCTGTGCTGACTTACTGTGTTCTAGCAGGGATGGCAGATAACAATGCTGCTGATTTTTGTGTCATTTTTGGCTGTTACGTTTTTTTTTTTCCTAAGATGTCAAATTCTATCAGCCAGTCCAAATTTGAGAGTTTGCAATTGAAAAGGAGTAATCACCACCATGCCACTGCCAGGGGCCTCAGCAGGGCCCCTCCTCCCGCCTGTGGGCTCTTCGCCGCAGGGACCGTGCAGGAATCTTGCTGTTCAACTCTCTTTCCTTCCAAGCTCAGCATTTCCCAGATGCGGCTGGCTACTCCAATCAGCCATCTGTGTGCCAGGGCAACTGTACTGGAGCACGCAACAGCCTTCCTGTCTTGAAATCGAACAGCTGCCCTTACCCAATGGAGCCTCCCCGAGATCAGGCCCTGCTCAGCTCCTTGTAAGATAATGTGGGAGAATGCTCAGACCCCCCCTCCAGACTCCAGCCTTCTGCTCCCCCTCCCCACACAGAGCTGCCTTGGCCTTGGGAGTATGCTGGAGCTTGCACAAGCTGGAAGGGTGTCCCAGCGGGGACTCCAGCGACGTGCCTCTAGTGATAAGATGGGCTTCTTGATGACACAGCACATGCTTCTGTAAGTGAACCCATTAAAGTCACCAAGACAGGCCTGGGTGGCATCGTCCCCTTGGCCTGCTGTGGCCCTTTCTGTCTGGGGTGACTAGAAATACTCCCCGGGAGAAAATCGTACCACACCGTGCTGATGTGGCGCAGATCTGACCCTGCCTCCATTCAGCACACGTGTTCACGTTGGGCTAAGCAGACCCAGTGCCTTTGTGTCCAGGAGAAGATGCTGAGACGCGCGCCTGCGCCACAGGGCCTCACCCTCTGTCCTGAACGCAGAGTGTGCCTCGGGGCTGTTCTTGACACACAGACCTGATGGGTTTTCCAAGAAAGCCCAAGGGCTGCTGTGTCTTCCAGGAACTGTATCTTACCCCTCCGGGGTGACATTCAGGAAGATTGCCCCGGGGGAGTGTCATGCACATAGTTCACTTTGTGACCGAGAGAATCCGGTGGCCTTCCCCAGATGAGGCTGGGAGATGCCGCTCGCTCTCCACCCGTGCCTGAGGGTATGCGGAGCTTGTTTCCCCGCGTGTCTGGTCTCTGCTCCTTCCCTCTCAGGCTTTCTTTTGGATCGAGCATTCAGATCATTTTATTTTCCGTGCATGAGTGTTTTGCGTACATCTGTGTATGGGCGCCACGTGTGTGCCTGGAGCCCCAGGGGACGGAAGAGGGCACCGGGACTGTGTTAGAGACCGTCATGAGCCCGGGCATGGGTCTCCTGGAAGTGCAGCCAGCACTGGCTTCTATGAGCCATCTCTCCTCCGAGCTACACCGCCAGCATTCACCCCGGCATTGTATGTTAACTGAGATGTGTTAGACCACTCCCGCAGTCATCCACACTCCTTTAAAGAGACTTAAAAGCTTGGGGCCGGAGAGATGGCTCAGTAGTAAGAAGCTCTTCTTGTTCCTGTGCAGACTTTGCCTCCCGACACCCACACGGCAGCTCACAGCCTTCTGTAACTTCAGTTCCAAGGATCCGACGACCCCTTCCGGTCTCTGGGAAGCTAGGCGTGCATGCGACGTACATGCACACGTTCAGGTGGGCAAAACACTCACACAAGGAAATAAAATTTTTAAGAGATTTAAAGCAAGAAAGGTTTCTTCTGTATTCTACTGTTTGTCATTTCTAATTTCTGACAAATTTGAATCCTTGCGTGGTTCCAAATTTTCGCCTGGTTATTATTTCTTCCTGCCTAAAGCAGTTCTCTTCATTAGTGTCTTCCAGCAGCAAATTCTTTCAGTTTTTTTCTGTTTCTCTTTTTCTTTGCACACTAGCCCAGTGTGGCTTCCTGCCTCGGCCTCCTGGGTGGTGAGGCAAAAGTCACCTAGGCCAGCCTGGAAATGTCATTCACTTTGTTTTTGTTTCCAAAAGACATTTTTTTGTAGAGTCCAGAATTCTAAGTTGACAGTTTTTACTCCTAACACAGGAAGCTGTCACCCTTCTTTGACGGTGATGCTCTGCTAAGACACTGTTGTTCCTCAGAAGCCAGCTAACTTGGTTTTGTTGATTTGTTGGCAGGGTCTCTCACTGGGGCCCGGGGCTTGTCAACTAGGCAAGGCTGTTCATCAGCAAGTCCCAGAAATCCCACTGTGTACCTTCCCAACACAGAGATTACAACTATGTACCACTGAAACCTTTAAAAACAAACAAAACAAAAAAAACATGGATTCTGGGATCAAACTTAGGTCCTCACGTTGCATGGAAAAAATTGACTGACTGAGCTATTGAGAGGCCTCTCCAGCATTATTGAGAATTGTCTTACTGAGATGGACTCCAGGGAGGGAATTATAAAGTCAGGGCTGATGGTGCCCCACGGTCCTTCTCATCCAGGAGCTCCTCTTCCCTCTCCTGGCCATTGTGGGTGCCGCTAACTCACACATGGGGGCCTGGAACCACTTCCCCGTGTGTCGGGCATGGTGTTCCTCCACGCCTGGAGTCGGTGGCTGGGTGGGCTCTGCAGACCCTCCGCTTGACGTGCAGACACACTCCGTGGTGCCTTTGCAACGCTGAAGCTCCAGCAGGGCAGCCTGAGCTCCTTCTGAAGCCGCAGTCCTGTTCGGCTCTGTCTTTCTTCACTCTATTTCGGGGTTCCTCTAGAGCACCCCAAGTCCTGCACAAGAACCCCGCCTCCTTAGAGCCTTCAACTCCTGCCTCCAGGCAACCTCACCTAAGACAGGATATGAGCCTTTCAGAGATTCCCAATTTGCTAAATCCCTCTACTAAGACTAGTGGTTATCATTATTATTGGGGTGTGCCGTGGTGCGTGTGTGGACTAGTGATAGTTATTATTATTGGGGTGTGCCGTGGTGCGTGTGTGGACTAGTGATAGTTATTATTATTGGGGTGTGCCGTGGTGCGTGTGTGGACTAGTGATAGTTATTATTATTGGGGTGTGCCGTGGTGCGTGTGTGGACTAGTGATAGATATTTTTACTGGGGTGTGCCGTGGTGCATGTGTGGACTAGTGATAGTTATTATTATTGGGGTGTGCCGTGGTGCGTGTGTGGAGATCGAGGCCAGCTCTGTGGAGTCACTCCTCCTTCTGCCTTCGTGGCGTCTGGAGATTGCACTCGGGTTGTCAGGCTTTTGTGGCCAGTACCTTTATTCTGAGTCACCTTGTCGGTCCCAAACCCTCCATTGTTAGGAAGCAGATGTCAGCTAAGTGCAGTGGTACACGCCTTTAGTCCCAGCACTTGGGAGGCAGAGGAAGCCTGATGTACGTGGTAATTTCTGTAATTTCTAGAATAGCCAGAGCTACATAGTGAGACCCTGTCTCAAAAACAAACAAAACAGGGCTGGAGAGATGGCTCAAAGGTTAAGAGCACTCGCTGCTCTTTCAGAGGTCCTGAGTTCGATTCCCAGCAACCACATGGTGGCTCACAACCATCTGTAATGAGATCCGGTGCCCTCTTCTGACCTACAGGAATACATGCAGGCAGAACACTGTATACATAATAAATAAATAAAATCTTTTAAAAAAAACAAGGGAGAAAGGAAGGAATGAAGGGAGAGAGAGAGAGAGAGGGTGGGAGGGAAGGAAGGAAGGAAGGAAGGAAGGAAGGAAGGAAGGAAGGAAGACATGTCCACTGAAGACAATTAGAAATTTACCCAGATATCAGGAAGCATATGACACACACCCCCGGAAGGTGTGGGAGGAGGCAGGGGGTGGTTGAAGGAAGACTTTGCAGGTGAAGGACTAATTGTGGTTTGCTGCAGACTGAATGTCTGTGCAAACCTTGACCTCATTTGTAGGTTGAACACAAATCCACACTATGCTGGGCTTAGGAACTGGGAGCCTCTAGGGGTGACTATGTAGCAGGGTGATCCATTCCTTTTTTAGGGTGATGGTGGAGGCCCTTGGAGGGCTTCTATTCTTTGTCTGCCATGTGAACCAGGAAATGGGCTCTCACCACACACTGAGTCTGCTGGAGTCTTAACCTTGGATCTCTCAGTCTCCAGAGCTGTGAGAAAATTTTGTTGCCTGTAAACTACACAGTGCACAGTGTTTTGTTATGGCAACTCAGGTGGACTGCACTCTACGTGGGACGGTCCAGCGGTGGACGTCACTGGGTCTGGATGGGCCGAGAGCACAAGCCTGAGGTGACTTAGGAATCATCCCGTCTCCATCTAAATCAGAGCAGAATAGCAATACTTAGGTACATGCCTGAATATAGCACCTCTTGGGTGCTTAGAACACAGTCCTTCATGCCCTAAGGGGACTCACTGCAGAGAGAGCGTGTGCGGTGCACACTGCTGTGATACACTGAGTTAGTGATAACTGATGGCTACGTAGGTTTCAGGAAACCTTGACGACTGCTCCTTCCACTGTTTGAATCCACTGAGAGGCTAGACTTAGAAACACTTCTGGAGGCTGGGAGGATTTAGACCAAGACGCTAGGTGGACTCCAGGGCGGCTCACAGACAGCACCCTTTAGTGATGTCTTCACACTGGAGAAGGAACCAACTTGTCTCTTGGACCCTTTTGTAAAAGCTCTCATACCACACACGGAGAGCAGCAAGGCACTGGCGGGTTCCCCAAGCCTGTTCCCCTCTGGAGGAGAGAAGATTAAAGCCCACCTTCAAACACGTTTAGGGCACAGCTTCCTGGACACAAGCAGCATTTCTCTTCAGACACCCTTGCTCCTCCACGATCCCAGGGCAGCAGGCTGCATATGTTGACCCATCCCCAGGCCGCACAATCAGTCACCAGGCGGGTAGATTCTGGGCAGGGGTGTCTGGTCACTGTGGATACGGAGCACAGTGCTCTGTCACCTGCCTGCTGGCTCTCTTCCTCTCCCATCGTCAATGCAACTTGACCAGCTTTCTCTCGCGTGATCCCAGAGTAAGCATCGTTAGGTAAATGATCTGCCTAGAGCAAACCAGCTAACTCACTCCAGACACAAGTTAAAAAATGATTTTTTTTAATATTCTTCCCCTTTGGGTTCTCCACCTACCTCTCTGTGCCTTCCTGGGTTGAACAAAGGAGACCTGATCCCAAAACAGCTGTGCTAGAAGCTTAGGCCCACCTGTAAGCTGCCAGTAGGCACCATGCTGTAAGACCATCAGTGACAGCTTTGGGGACAACTGTGTCCCTATCCTCAGTGGTGGGGACGTCTGTTTGCCAAGTCTGACTCGTCACGAAGCGTGTTATGATATGGGGCTAGCCCCAGCTCTGCCCTGGACGGTTTCCCAAAGGCAGAGCTGCCCAACAGGCCTGGCAAGTTCATTAATCCTATTTAGGGTGTGATCACTGTTACCAGCCCAAGCTACAGGCAGCACACCTGCCTGCTGAGGTTCCCAGGCTGGGGACGCAGGGCACAGAGATGGAGATGCAGAGGGGCCTCTCCACTTAGTCCAAGGAGGGAAGGACATTGGACAGAGGCAGAGACAGACACAGACAGACAGAAAGACAAAGACAAAGAAACACAGAGAGACAGACAGAGAGGGAAGATGGGGTCAGGGAAACGTAGGAAATATATAGAGATGCTAAACATTAAAAGTAGGCTGGTTTAACCCACAGAAACAGCTGACCTAAACAAGGAGGAGCTCTTGGATCCCAGACTGATGGCTGTGTGGAAAGCATGGGACTGACCCAGACACCCTGAATGTGGGTGTCAGTGAGGAGGCCTAGGTAATCTATGGGGCCAAGGGTAGTATTTATCCCTGGTGTACAAATAGACTTTGAGTGCCCATGCCACAATATGGGAGGCTCTCTCAGCTGGGACTCTTAGGGGAGGGTCTAGGCCCTGCCCTGGGTGAAATGACAGTTACTGGAGATCCACCATGGAGGGCCTCACCCTCCTTGGGGATGGAGTGGAGTTTGGATGGGGCACTGGGGGAGGAGGGCGGGGGAGGAGGGGAGGGAGAGGGAGCTGGGATTGACATGTGAAACAAGATTGCTTCTAACCTAAATAAAAAAATAATTAAAAAAAAAGAAAGAAATGCAGTGACCCTGAAGGGACTCTGGCCGCGCTAGCAAACTGGGCTTTCGCAGCCTTGTCCTTCTCCCCCCACTCCCTCTGCCTTGCTAGAAACCATTAGATCACATTCCTAAAGCCAGCACCCAGGGTTCCCTTCCTAAAGCCAGCACCCAAGGGTTCCCTTCCTAAAGCCAGCACCCAAGGGTTCCCTTCCTAAAGCCAGCACCCAGGGCTCCCTTCCTAAAGCCAGCACCCAGGGGTCCCTTCCTAAAGCCAGCACCCAGGGCTCCCTTCCTAAAGCCAGTACCCAAGGGCTCCCTTCCTAAAGCCAGCACCCGGGTTCCCTTCCTAAAGCCAGCACCCAGGGCTCCCTTCCTAAAACCAGTACCCAAGGGCTCCCTTCCTAAAGCCAGCACCCGGGTTCCCTTCCTAAAGCCAGCACCCAAGGGTTCCCTTCCTAAAGCCAGCACCCAGGGCTCCCTTCCTAAAGCCGGCACCCAAGGGCTCCCTTCCTAAAGCCAGCACCCAGGGTTCCCTTCCTAAAGCCAGCACCCAGGGTTCCCTTCCTAAAGCCAGCACCCAGGGCTCCCTTCCTAAAGCCAGCACCCAGGGGTCCCTTCCTAAAGCCAGCACCCAGGGCTCCCTTCCTAAAGCCAGCACCCAAGGGCTCCCTTCCTAAAGCCAGCACCCAGGGTTCCCTTCCTAAAGCCAGCACCCAGGGGTCCCTTCCTAAAGCCAGCACCCAGGGCTCCCTTCCTAAAGCCAGCACCCAAGGGCTCCCTTCCTAAAGCCAGCACCCAGGGTTCCCTTCCTAAAGCCAGCACCCAGGGTTCCCTTCCTAAAGCCAGCACCCAGGGTTCCCTTCCTAAAGCCAGCACCCAAGGGCTCCCTTCCTAAAGCCAGCACCCAGGCCTCTTCCCTGACTTGGCCACTTCCTCCCCCTGAGGCCGACGACCAAGGTCCAGCTACCGAAGAATTGAAGTCCAGCAATCAGAGGGCTGATTCTCACCTTGTGTGTGGTGGACAGAACACCCGACCACCTGCGCCGTGGGCCAAAAGCCCTCAGCAACTGTCCTCAGGTAAATCATCTGTGAGACAAGCTGAGAAGGAGAGGTAATGTCCTAAACTTAATCAAGGGCTGGTGGGGTGGCGCTTGCAACCCTGGAATCCACAGAGTAGGAGAGACCCAGCCCCTGCGAGCTGTCCTCTGACGTCCACACACGAGCCACGGCACACCTGTACAGTCGCACACAAGCATGCCCACACACACCATAAATACATAAATAAATACATAAATAAGGTTTTAAGATTTTTCTTTTCTTTTTTCTCCCTCCCCCTTCCCCCCAGTTCTTCAAGACAGGGTTTCTCTGTAGCTTTGGAGGCTGTCCTGGGACTCGCTCTGTAGACCAGACTGGTCTCAAACTCACAGATATCTGCCTGCCTCTGCTGGGATTAAAGATGCATGTCACCACTGGCCGGCTGATAATTTAAACATTTTAAACTGAATAATTGCAGGCAAGGGCAGGAAGACTTTTTCTAGGGAAAAAAAGGTGCTGTGTCTGTGGGGGTCACAGGGGAAATGGCGTCCCGCGCGTGGTGCAGCGTGCAAGGAGACACGTCTGTCAGGCCTTCCTTGGTGTATGCCAGAGCAAGCTGGGAGACACGTCTGTCAGGCCTTCCTTGGTGTATGCCAGAGCAAGCTGGGAGACACGTCTGTCAGGCCTTCCTTGGTGTATACCAGAGCAAACTGGGAGACACGTCTGTCAGGCCTTCCTTGGTGTATGCCAGAGCAAGCTGGGAGACACGTCTGTCAGGCCTTCCTTGGTGTATGCCAGAGCAAGCTGGGAGACACGTCTGTCAGGCCTTCCTTGGTGTATACCAGAGCAAGCTGGGAGACACGTCTGTCAGGCCTTCCTTGGTGTATACCAGAGCAAGCTGGGAGACACGTCTGTCAGGCCTTCCTTGGTGTATGCCAGAGCAAGCTGGGAGACACGTCTGTCAGGCCTTCCTTGGTGTATGCCAGAGCAAGCTGGGAGACACGTCTGTCAGGCCTTCCTTGGTGTATACCAGAGCAAGCTGGGAGACACGTCTGTCAGGCCTTCCCACTCCTTGAGCTCTTCTGCCGCAAGGACCTGTGATCTTGCCTGCGTAGTATTGACCACACCTTCTGAGGTAAGTCGCGGGTCCCCTGGATCCCACGAGGTCTTTGATTGAACCCCTGGTTCTGCAGGGCTGCACTGAGGTAAGGGTCCAGAGGCTGTCTACGCCTTAACCCTCACTGCCTGATATGGGATTCTATGTGTAAAATAATCCCAGAAGGAGAAATACTGGTTAAGACCTCCTTACTAGGGCTGGAGAGATGGCTCAGTGGTTAAGAGCGCTGACTGCTCTCCCACAGGACCCAGGTGTAATTCCCAGGACCCACATGACAGCTCACAACTGTCTGTAATTTCAGTTCCAGGGGGATTTGACACCCATGGCAAAGTGCCAATGAACATAAAGTAAAAATAAATAAAAATGTAAAAAAAAAAACATTTCGCTGGGCAGTGGAGGCACATGCCTTCAATCCCAGCACTCGGGAAGCAGAGGCAGGGGAATCTGTGAGTTTGAGGCCAGCTTGGTCTACAGAGTGAGTCCCATGACAGGATCCAAAGCTACTCTGTCTCAGAAAAAAAAAATCTTCTGACTAAAGTTTCTAGACAGATTTTCATTTTCATTCTTACTTTTCAGGATTATTTGTGAATGTTCTTGGATGAGAAAATGTCTATTAGAGTGTAATTGTGCCTAACAATAAAGGAAACCAGACGGGAAGATGGGACTCCAACCCCAGCTCTTCTGAGACCCTGGGAAGAACCTTTAATCTTGTGAGCCTTGCTGAATGCATCTGTACAATGGGGAGAAGACCAAAGCCTGTGGTTAGGATCAAACAGACTCATGCATGTAAAAGCCCACGTTGCACTGGGGGTTGGGGGGATGGGGGACGTGGAATACGAAGTTGATTTCTGCATGTCAGCTGTTCACTGGTGGACTGTCTAAGCAGATATCAACTGGGCTCTCTTCCTAGACCATCTAATCTACATGTCTGCAGGCCTCTGAGCGAGCTGCTTCCCAGGAGACCATTCAATTCCGACAGTAGTCTCACTGGTTAACGAGGGCCTGGGGTGCAAAGTTCCTGAGTGGGCAGCAAGGGCTCTTGTGAACAACTTGGTGCAAGGACCCTGCCTGGGCTTGCATCAGAGTCTCTCAGGACCCATGCTGCCCCAGAAAAGCATGCCTCTGCTCGCCCTGCCTTTCCCAACACGCCAAAAGGAAGACACGGGAGATCAGGGGGACATGGGCAATAAGGTGCTGGACGCTGTGGCCTCCGAGTCACCCAGCCACAAACTTTACACAGAACACTTGGGTACAACAAAACAGAAATGGCACTCTCGCCCCCCCCCCCCATGCTCTTCCATGCGTGTGCAGGTACACGCGAACACCCCCATCTCAGCCACAGTCACACAGTATGAAAACAGAGTGGGTCCCCTTCCCAGCTGGCCTGAGTGAAGGACAGGTGGCTGGCATTTGCTCATCTTGTCGTGTCGATCTTCTCCATTAGGGAATTAGAACCCGGGGGCTGGAGAGCACTGGCTGCCCCTTCTAACTGAGTCCCCCCCCCACCACGCCCCCAGTACCCGCATCAGGTGATGACAAACACTTGTCTGTTTTTTGAGACAAGGTTTCTACACAGCCCTGGCCATCCTGGAACTCACAGAGATCCGCCTGCCTCTGCCTCCCGCGTGCTGGGATTAAGTGTGTGCGCCACCAACGCTGCTTCTGACAACCACTTGTAAGTCCCGCTCCAGGGAGTCTGACACCATCTTCCGGCCTCCTCTGCAGGCACCTGCGGCGCGTTCACATATGTATACATCGACACATACACTTTTTTTAAAAAAAGACTTAAAACCCAACATGCTCTGCATCCCAGTGGCCAGGGTCACATGATTTCCTGCCTCTGGCACAGGTCGTTCCCAGTGCCCAGCATGATCCCGAGCAGCTTTGAGAGAAGAGACCAGAACCGACCAGACAGGAAGCCCATGGAACACAACACCCATGCTCCCAAGGACCAGGACAAGCGCGTGTCTTTGGGAAGCCACCATTCCTCCATGGGAGTGGACAGGTCCTCTGAGACTGTATGTGTCATGTGTGAAATCTCTCTCGGCTTCACAGCACTGAGGGTTTCCTCTGGGT